ACTTCTGGCGCAAACTCCCGGTTTCCTACAGAAGCATGATTAGCACCGACGTTCTAAGTACCCTGAATTAGTCACAAGTATCTGTAAATATAAAGAAAATACTTCACCTAACAAATAAATTGTATTTTATGCAAATTGTCTTGCATTAATCGCGTAAAAATACATTTTATTTTCAAAGGTCTGGAATAACTTTACGCATACCTGATGTATTGTCCGTGGTAGAGATTTGAGAAGCTATCGAAACTCTTCCGCGATATTTTCTAGGCGCCTTGCTGATGGTCAGACCATCATTTTTGATACTGCATCCTCTATGACCTTTTTAGATTATTTTTCCCAGTAATATCTCCACCTCTGTTTATGAACCCGTTTGATGACAGTTCCAATGCTATCTGCTATGACGTACCATTTTAATCTATTTTGTTAATATACCCATTTAACATTTGTCTTTTACCTTTATGTTTGTTTAGTGTAATTTCCTTCTGGATTGCTGTGTTTTAACCGTTTGGTGGCCTTAATGACCTTTTGTGTGTTGACGGGCCGATAAGAATGTCATAATGATGATGATGATAATTGCTGATTAAAGATAAAAAATATTATGTCATATTGAGTTACTAGTTTGTAATCCGAAAGATGATTTCGCATATTACCGTAAAGGACGTGAAAAGGTAAGATGTCACCTGCATCCAACAATAACACCCCTCGCGCGCTTACATCTGGGCCAAAAAGAATGATTAGTATCAGTTTAAATTCCGGTTACAACATAGCTGCTTAGTAGTGTACACATAATTCTTGCTCTGCGTTTTTCAGACAAGTTTTGCCATTCCTAGGTGTTGAAATATGTTGACAGCTCGCCAGTAGTTACATTGTTTTGTCAGTAATATTAACATGAACATGATTTTTGAAAATTATTTTGTAAAAGTGTGAAAGGAAATTGGAGGAGGTGACTTTGAAAATAAATGATGAAAAGATATTTGAAATTTTGAAAATGAAACTCGGGATTATGACTATTGCCTATTCTATAACCAAATCAAAAGCTATGAAAATTCAAGAAAGGAATTTGGAATCAGAAATTGAAATATTAGAAGAAATCATTAACATTGAGCAAAGCAGTGAAGTTTATGAAGCTGTGGAAGGGAAGAAAATCAGTTGGTAATATTCGTACATAAAAGCCGTCCTATTTTTAGGACTTGGGTCTGTAGGGAGTAGTTATATTTTTCCTATCCCCAATGTTCCACAAATAGCCTTAAAGAGTCCAGATTCGAGCTATCGACCCTGGTCTGTTTGAATGGATATTGGGGGTTCCGAACCGGCATATAAATTCTGTCACAAGTTTATCGGCAACGGTTTGAACAGTATGTTTAGGTACACTATACGCTTGAACCCACTTAGAAAAGTATTCTGCTGCTAGAATAATGTAACTATTTCCATTTTCTGTCGTTTGAAGCCCACCCAGGATATTAACAGCAGCACGCTCCAATGGAGTCCCTATAGAACCAGAAGGGGTCAGAGGGACACGACCTCGTGATGTACAAAGCTTCCTACGGGCACAAGAATCACAAGTATTATACCGATTTTGCAGTCCGCGACTAAGCAAGGCCAACAAAACCTTTTCTGGATCATATCAGTTGTTCTATCTCGACCAAGATGCCATAACGTCCTTAAGATGTGGAGGTGATGTAAAATGTCCTCACTTATACATGTTGATTTTGGTTCTCTGCTTAACAGATCTTTTCTACACAGAACTCCTTGTTCATCTATGAAAAGCAATTCCCACATATGGTAGTTTTCTAATTGCTGAAGGAAATGATCCAAATATAGACTTCCTTTAAGGGTATATGCTTCCTTAGGATTATGTCCCCTTCCTGCCAGTCCTTAAATCGTTCAGGACCTCAGGCATTTAACCAGATTTTCAAATCTGTTTTATTTCCTTCCACAGGTACTTCATAGGAGCTGTCTGAGGTGTCATGAGTTCCTGGATATGACCCCAAAAACAAAAGACTGCTAGGAGGAGTTTTACAGGATCAGGGGAGATAACAGGCGCAGACGAGACATCTGACTTTAGGGGCCTACAAGTTGGACAGTAAACCCTAGACGCTGGACACACTGGAAAGCGTGACAAACTGTCAGCATTGCCATGCTTGTAACTTACCCTGTGCTGGATCTCTATATCATATAAATCAAGGACAGACAACCACTTAGAAATTCTTCAGCCAAGTAAGAGAGGCATGATCTGTTCTGACGATGAAAGGCCTTCCCCATGTTTAAAGTATTTTACAAATGTTACTACTGCTAGCAGTTCCCTGTGAGTTGTGCAATAGTTTGACTGGGCCGTGTTCCGTGTCCTACTTCCATGGACGATAATTGTTTCTTCTCCATTCTATATTTGAGAGAGAACTGCACCAAAACCTGTCAAAGTGGCGTCGGTATCTAGGATAAACTTCCAAATTCCCGCGGGATAACTCAGCATTGGGGCAGTTGTAAGGAGACTCTTAAGGGTTTCAAATGAACGTTCACATTTCTCACCCCAAATGAACTTGTTATTCTTCCTTGTGAGAATAGTGAGCGGTTAAGCCAATATTGTCTATGAATCTACTATAGTAACCAGCTACTATCAGAAAACCCCTGACCTTACTTACGTTAAATTTTTGGCCAAAAGTTATAACATCATCAAAAGAGCACAAACACTTAATACTGGGAGGGTTAAAGTGGTTTAACTGCATAAATCTAGAATAGGTAGCACGGGCATTACATTAAACTTAATCAGTCCCTTGTTGTTTTTCCTTATCCGCAAGATTAATTTTACATTGCCAGTAGTCATTGACCAAATCTAGGGTGTTAAGCCATTTTGTCCCAGATCATGTATTTAATGTATCATCTTTCCTAAGAAGAGGAAAGACACCCTTCCTGGTGATAGAGTTCAACTTCCTATAATCAGTACAAAAGCGGACTGAGCCGTCTTTCCTAGATACTAATACAACAGGGGCTGCCTATGGACCATTGCTAGGCTGTATGATACCAAGCATTTTGTTTAATTCCTACTCAAGTATTACTTTCTGACATGGATAGATACACTGTGCAGGTATTCTAATTAGGCGCCCATCCCCGGTGTCTTTATTGTGCTCAACCACCCGAGTTTTACCTATATATCTTCACATTCCGCTCTCAGATCTGTAGCTTGACTTTTCTCTAAAGGTGTCAGTTCCGATGAGAACTGGTCGAATGTTTCTAAATACTCGGGCAGGGTTCAAAAGACTTTTTTATCTGCTTCTAGATGATGAACTTCTTTCACTGAAGTCAACTCCCCTATTGCGATGTATCTTAATACTCTGATCACTAAGGTTCATGACAGAGAAATTTATCTTATTCAATTAAGAATTGACTAATACTTTTGCCATCATTAACTCTGGATCGGCAACAAATGTATTTGGCCTTATACTTTTTCAAGAGTCTCCGTGTAAATATGTCTTTTGTTCATATTTTGACCTTGCTTTCATTACATTTGAGTTTGATTATGTTGACGTGTTCACTATTAGTGATAAGGAACGGGGAATTATTAAACTATATCATATCAGGTCTTCCATCCATTGCAGATTGAAACATAGCACACGGTTACTGCCCTCCGCTGTTACAGATACTCAAAAGTGAAATGCATTTTTTTCAAAACAGTAGGGAACCATACTTATACAATGGAATTTTGCTCAAAATTATGTCAATTTCTATGAACCGCTCTTGTTGGCCATTGTTTTCGAGGGTTACAATATTAAGTTAATACTTGTCCTCTTCTATGCGAGGCCGATCACATGGGAAACGTTGTAGTTCAATAGTCAGGACGGACGCAATTTTAGTTCTACTGATGAAATGTTTGTTTTTAATTAATGGTATATATATCCATGATCACGTTATACCTATAACGTGATGTAATTATTGAAGCGTTACTAACTTCTCAGTAAATATGCAATTACATTGTCGACCTACGTTTTGTTGTCACTTTGGCTTAATGGTATTGATACATAGTAAATTGAACGTTACTGTTATTTGAGATCATGCAAATATAGCCGTGTCCGTGATGGGCTCTCATCATTCATTAGTGAATTTGATTTGAAGTAAAATCAATGCAGGTACTCCTGGACTTCAAGGTAGAGTAAACACGACCTAGATATTCTCGATACGTCGGATTGACAATTAAGAACACAACAACTATAATATGATTAACAAACTGCAACTTATTTGAAACGTATTCAAAGCGGTACATAACGGTCCCAAGTCAATAATAGCCCACCAATGTTTGAAAATGAAACTAAGCTAACCTTCGCAGTTACCACAACATTATTAAGGACGGACCTTCCGCTGATCGTTCTTGAAATTGCAGTTAGAATATTCATTTTTTACATTTATATTATGATGCTTCAAGTGATAATAATAAGGTTGCCGCGGCCATGGTTACACAAGATGAAGCTTATGGCTATATTTGAATATATTCAAGCAAAGTAATGAGAGATGCTATCTATTCAGCCTCTCTTTCTGTACTACAAAATCAAAAGAGATATTTTAATATGTTAATCGTTATGTATTAATACTGCAGTCAAATTTAATTATAACCAATTTCAATGCACATTTGATTTTGATTCGATATACGGGTATTTCAATGTATAGTTAGAAAGAAGGGAAGTACAATTTGAAACAAACTTTGTTGTAAGCCAAGCTATGTCTAACGACGGCATAACGTTACGAGTTTCAAATAAGCCAAATATAAAGAAATATACAAACAAATGACGTTTTATTCCAAAGGGTTAAATGTTATATAATATCCAAACGTATGTCAGCAGTTCATTCTCTCTCTCCAACACTCCTTCCTTCCTAAGATTTTTTTCCCGATAACGCCTGTCAGTAATCTCATCTACAAATAACTGCATTGAGTGTATCGCGCTGAATGTGTCGTCGGAAATGTTAGATTTTACCTTAAGAAAACGGGACAATTTCCCGAAGTGCTTAGGCCGATTTTAATGTTGGCACTGGCTGAGAACAGCTGTGTTCTGTTCCTCTGCTTCCTCAGTATCGGAATCCTGTTTTACAACACATCTCACGACATCGTCCTCAGAAATTTCAGCAGTGTTAACTAGATTGTTGTCAACATTCACAAAGTCGGCCATTGACACAGTCACGTGATTATCCTCGCTCTCATTTCTTCTTTTGCGGATCGATTCAATGAGGCGCACTTCGTCATCTTCATCTACATTAATGCCATCCGTTTCACCATTTCTAATTAAAAATAGCTGCTATAGTACAACCATGGAGAAGATCAAATTAAGATATTCAACTGAATCAAACAGCTGTTTCGTCAAGTTAATAAATAACGCTTATATTGATGACCAAACGTGGTCGTTAAAAAGTAAAAAGATATAAATATTTGTCAAGTTAATAAACTTATATTTCCCAAAAAGTCAATAAACTTATTTTTCACAAAGAACAATTTCCAGTAATCATAAAAGCAAGTCAGGTACATGAAGATATGTGAAATTTATGGAAATCCTTGCTGTTACATATATGGAGAGACATTCTGATAGAGTGGTAGCTGGCATGCATGACTATCCACGGTACAGCAAGGCTGCATTGCGTACATGTTTGTATGCTTCATTAAACACCTGACATAAGAAATACAATAACAAAGGAAATAAAACGTGTCATCATAATACGAACTCAAATTTTAAAAACCCTAGGGTAAAATATGTTCAAATCAAAAATTGACACAGATTCCTGCAAAAGTAGACATGTATAGGTGTTCTGAAAGGGTAAGCATATTCTGCTTCATCCACAATATCCGCCATGCAACTCTTAAAACAATTTAAGTAACGTCACATTTCCAGATGGGAACGCGGTAAACAACGATGTAAACAATAACTGCACAAAGCATAGCGTAATGACCTCGATATCTTACTAGATACGAAATATTTCAAATTATGTAATCCACAATTCAACAGAATGTATAGTTCTCAATAAGCACATATATGGAAGGAACGGATGAATAATAGAAAGGTACAAACAGTTTATCGTGGTATTAGAAATACCATTTAATCAACTATCATTAGTAGATCTTGTGTCCTACGTGCCGTAGAAACTAATCAGTACAGGCCTAGCTTTTGTTCTTTTATCTAGCCCGGGCATTGCTTTTTTATATTTAACCAATGTATTTACACTGTTGTGTATATTGAATTCATTTAAATACATATGACAAAAATGTCCTGTTCTTGTAATTTACTGGAAGAGCTACTAGAAAATGATTATTTTATCGCACGAATGCATGTGGTTGTGTGGATTTTTACTCGACACACAGTTTATTGAACATTTAAACACATATTCACGGAGACAGTCACCTGAAATAAAAATACAATATCTTAATATAGAGCTTACGCGCATAAATGTGTAACACCCAATATTCAGTAAAGATTTAAATATTTATAGACATTTATTAACTTGTATATTTTATCATGGAGAATTATATATTTACACTGACAACTCTTGTTTTGACCTCACCCTGTGATATACAGAACCTGTCCATGTATGTACGTAATTATGACCTAATATATTAAATAGTTAAATTACGGTCGGTCAACTAGATGAAAGTACAATTTTACATAATATTTTAGTACGAGTAATATTTAAATTTAGTTTTAAATATTTTTAGTTTAATCAACACTTACCTGCACTGTGGCAGTAATGCACACAGGCAATATCAGTGAGTGTATACAGTATTAAGCCTGTACACAGGACAGCGGCCTGGTGCACAGCGCAAGTATTAACATATACATGTACACGGTATATATTACATTAATTAAATTACTGTCCAAACTATATATATAACTACATGTATATATAAGTTTGACCACCGTGACAATTATATCGATTTACTTTAATGTATAGTTATTTATATGCGAAGTCCACTCGAGACATTTTTTATCGTAACGTTAAATACCGTTTTTGAAACTGTTGAGATTTTTAAAATACTAGGTTATTTTACAGATGTTGGTCTTTATAATAGACTATGATTATACAATAATTTCAGATTTTAAGCATTTGTTTTTTACCTTTTAGTTTGTTTGATGTTATTCCCTTTTCGGATCGCTGTGTGTTTTACCGGTTGATGGCCCTAATGATCTTTTATTTGTTGACGGGGCGTTAAGACTGTACTAATAAAAGTAAATACAATCCCTATCATTACTGACTACTATGAGGCCATTACTCAAAATGTAAATTTGATTTCCTAATTGTGAAACAGGTATGGACGTCAGTACAGGTTAATGTGAAAATCGTGGATATTTGACTTACCATTTTCTCTGCAACATACGATCGCCTTTATTTTGCCACAATAAGCACAAATTGCAAAAATCTTGAAACGAATTTTCTAAATATGAAACCATCCAAAAACCAAAAAATTGGAATCCAACAATTCAATCAGATAATTCTCTTCAAAGCTAACAGTGGCGCTGATTGAAGCCCAGATATCTTTTCAATGAAAAAGTTCAGAATGGACAGCAGATCCAGGATACTTAACGTCAAAGTAATATAGCTATGGAGTTCATTGTCATATTTCTCGATTGAATACTTCATATTGAGGAACAGTGGCGTATGGCCTACTCGTTTTTATGCTGATCTACTTAAGACATGCTACACGATTTCCTCTCGCAAACAATTAGTTATGTTGTCAAATGACAAAATACTATATCAACAATGCTACAAACAGAAATATTGTAGACCCCATTACGAGGCAAAATGTTATCACAAACATGATCATATCGAGTTTTTTAATTTTCCGATTGGGATCATCAGCATCCTTTTCGTCAATATTATATTTTTGTGGTGACGGAAAGACTGCCGCACTATATCGTGTTTTTCGTGACGATTCCTTTCTTAAGAAACCATTGCTATAATTACTATTGAAAAAGTGAAAGTCTGACTCGTCTCCTTGACAACCCTCGGTTTTGGAACTTTCACCAATAGCAATGTTTTCCTCGATACCATCCTTGTATCCTTGGAGCCGAAGAGATATACTATGATCCTTCAAGTCCTCGCTTTTTGTGTACACGCTTCTGTTTATTTCTTCTTCATTTTTATTAGCAGAAACATTGACAAAGTGGTATTTATTGTCTTCTCTATCTTTCATTCTCCATATATATATTGACATGACGATTCCAAACACACTCATTCCGAGCTGAACGACAAGGTAGATTGACAGATAGGATATGGTAGTGGACATCTTCGGCATTGTATCATTAAACACGGTTAGAAACACGGTGAAGGACAAGAGAACAGATATACACAGGGTCACCTTCTCACCAGAATTAGCCGGAAGTAGAAACACTAGCGTGTTCAAGAAGGAGAGCATGACGACTGGAGCAAGAGTGTTTAGAATCGGATGTAGAGAACGGCGTTTAAGATATATATGATACCGTATCCAGGAGGTGTTATATCCAGGACTTTTGTTTGCCTCCACCATTGTGCGAGTAATCTCCCATTCCCCATTTTCGACATAATTTGAAATATCTAGTCCTTTTCCAGAGTCTGTCAGTTGTTGTGTCCATGCTGTAGTATGCCATGCACCAACACGTAAGTTACACACCTGATCATCAAAAGGATACCGTCGAATGTCGATACTACATCTTGTAACATACTCATTTCCTGGGTACCATGACACACGGCCGTCCTGGAACAGAATCACATGTTGTCCATCACTGATGGTCTGTGGATCTTCAACAGTGTCGTATATACTGATGTCCGGATACCATATGTCTTTTTTTGGAATCAACAAACTTTCCACGTCCTCGCTCAATATGAGGAATTCATCTACCCAGGATATTTCAAACCAGGCAATAAAACGCATCGTTTGTAATCTTTCATTGATTTCACCAAGGACGTTCAAATGGAATGTTATATTAACTAATACACTACGAGATAAGTCCTTCCTCGGTTTATACACTGACGAATAATTTTTGAACATGTCTGATAATTCTACTGCATAGGGTAATATGCTTCCAGACACGCAGTACATCAAACAGGGTAGAAGTGAATACAAGCAAATCAGCGGTTTAGTTCGGTTAAGCATTGTTCTGACGCGATAGCATTAATGCTTTGATATCGAAGAAATATTAGATTGCAGCGTCGTATAAATACAAATAGTCAGTGATTCTAGATATCGAGTATTGTCCACCTATAATCAATCTCGGCCTACAACATGACGTTTATGGACGTTGGATAATGGGTTTCTGTGCCCTATATCAGCACTCTGAATTGATATTGACGAGGTGTCTATTATTTTAAGACAGATACAGTTACTGATGTGTAAATATATAATTAACGATACTCTATAGGATAAATCCGTCTTCCCGGTGAATTATCTGTAGAGTGGACAGCGAGTACGGGGGCTTGGAACTGTACTGAACACACCTGTAATGTAAACATGTTCCAGAATCATTAATAATACTTAAATCATGTTGTTAGTGTACGCTATCCTATAAACTGTCCGTATATAGTCGTAGTATTGACTTGTTTTAGACATTATAACAAGTGTGATTGATAATTTTTCCAATAGTGTTAAACATAACTGAACACGATCAGTACATGTCGTTAACCGTGAGTGTACTTTGAAGGCTAACGAGTGACAGACTTAGCTTGTATACACAGCGGCGACTCTTAAAGACCCAAAAAGTTTATAGAAATATAAAAGAAATAAGAAAACCATTCATGAAACGCTATCCTTTAAATTCATCTTAAAGTAACATTAGTCGATCACCTAACTGTTGGTAGGATTTTGAACAATATTTACCCAAGACTTCTGTCGATGTAATTGCAAAAAACCTTATTGCCACCCAATGAAACCCGATATGGAACATGACGATATTCAGAAAATACTCATATTCATATGTAAAGTAAAGTGTATATTTTAGATATATTTTTTCTATATAGAATAGATATGTGAATATGAAGATTCATATCTACATTACATACAACATCAACATTATCAATTTTCACGTTTCCGGTCATATTCAGCGAAAAAAAGGTTCTTAATCGCGTTATAGAAACAGCTAATCACGGAACACCAGACAAGAACATTGTGACGTCACACAATAATTAGGAGCCAGTTGCAGTTATGATCAATGCACTGGCCATCGGGTACTCATGTAATTTAGTAGCAAAGAGCAAATATAAATGTCCTTCGAAACCGACATACAGTTAAATTAACCATTTTTCCCTAAGGTTTTTTTCCGCTAAACCCGGCATATCATTACTTTTAGCACACTTCCTCGTGAGTTTCCCTTCATACCCGGCATACATTTTTATGAAACGTTCTTTCCCATGGTTTCCCATCAAAACTAAATCATACGATTACATTAAACAGATTCTCTATATTTTCATTCAAAGCTCGTTCTCAACATTATCCCGTCGAACGCATCGAGCATTCACGACACATTATCTTGGTTTTCCAGTCAAAATCGGCGTATAGTTGCACAGTATACATTTTCTCGTGGTTTTTCTTTCAAACCTCATACAGTTTCATTGAAAATTTTTCATCGTTTTCCCTTCTATCCCGGCATACAATTATACTTAACACACTACCTCATGTTTTCTCTATCAAACCCGACATACCGTTACAGTGAACACATTTTCTCGTGGTTTCTCTGTGAAATCTTAAACAGTTACAGTGAACACATTTTCTCGTGGTTTCTCTGTGAAATCTTAAACAGTTATAGTGGACAGATTTTCTCGTGGTTTCTCTGTGAAATCTTAAATAGTTACAGTGGACACATTTTCTCGTGGTTTCTCTGTGAAATCTTAAACAGTTACAGTGAACACATTTTCTCGTGGTTTCTCTGTGAAATCTTAAACAGTTACAGTGAACACATTTTCTCGTGGTTTCTCTGTGAAATCTTAAACAGTTACAGTGAACACATTTTCTCGTGGTTTCTCTGTGAAATCTTAAACAGTTACATTGAACACACTTTCCTTGTTTCCCGGCAAACTTCACATAGTTTCATTGGACACATTTTCTCAAAGCTTCACCGTCAAACCCGGTGGCATATAGTTAACACGTTCTCGTGATTTTCCATTCAAACCTCACAGTGTGTAATTAAGCACGTCTACATTGTATTCCCGTCAAACCCAGCATTGAGAACACTTGATTGTCTCGTCTACAATTAACATGGAACACATGTCCTTGTGATTTCCTGGAATACAGTTACAATGAATACACTTTCTGATGGTGTTTAAGTCACACCTTGCATAAAGTTCTATTGAATATATTTTCCCATATACAAATAAGAGAGCTTTTGTCATAGTGTTATCCATCAATAATATATTAGTTTTAAAACAAGGCTTAATCACAATATGCGGAAAGTGGGGTGATCTTTTACGCCCAAATATGGTAATGTATCAATTTCAAGATATATATTGGCACAGAATATCAATTGCAAATGTGAGAAACCACTGAAGCGTCATGCAACAGTTTATAGTCGGGGATAAATACACTCTACTTGGGAACAGATCAGTATTTGAAGGATATGGCTTATAGTACATTCTAATATTCATACAGAGGATGTTTAAGTCATGTCAAACATTTTAATAACCTTCATGACTACACACATTGCGCAATCTTTGAATGATTAATTCTAGTCACATTCAGTTATACAATCACAAATAGCTGTAACGTTTGAGTAATATACAACTAAATGCTTCGACATTTTATCTCAGGGTCTACTATTGTCTCCCGAGGTTAGGTGTCATATTATCTTGTTTTACAGAATTCCAATGACATTATTAAATGTCCGGTGTCATATTATCTTGTTTTACAGAATTCCAATGACATTATTAAATGTCCGTAAAAGGGACCAAGTGATTTCATGTTGAAAGTCAAATATTTTTTCTATATATATATCGCATACTTGTTATTTGATTTTTTTATCTTTGAGCATCAATAGAAGACATTACTTAAAAGAGTGTTCTCGCTCAAGGCGTTTCTCTTTTAAAGCAGATGGACAACTGTTGGGATACCAGACACACACGAGCAAATATAATATAGAATTTTGTGTGGAATTGCGATTATTTGTGTAACCCATCACCCCTCCTACAATTTCATGTCTCCTGATACTATTATAATGAATTATTCAGTTAGCAATGATAAAAAGATTCAAGATTTAATAGGTAATTTTGTCTATAAAACAATTTGTTAAGGTATGAGATGGTTATAGCCTACCTTTTGATCTCCTGATAACAGCAGCACGCCATGGCGGGTAGAGACCGAATGACTTGTGCCTGTTTTACTGGTACATACTCGCAATGGATCAATACTTTTGATGAAACCAACTACTAGAGTTAATGACATCGCGAGTATTGGATAATGCAACTTTGAGGTAGCTGGCTGGAACATACCTATAACGCTAACCAAACACATGTATTCCGAATAAAACCAACCCGGGTACAAACGATAAATACACTATGCCATTATTAAATGACACTAAAATTGGAAAATACAATACAGTAAACGAAACGCAAGAATGAAATAAAACGGGTATTGTTAAACCTAAAAAGAGGACATCGTCTTACTGGACTAAGCTTCAAAATATCAAGTTTTAAGAATGTTTTATAATGTAGGCATGCCAGACATACAGAAAAAGACAAATAATTGTGCAAATTACAAAAGACCTCAATGGCAACCGCAATAAATTTTCAGACTATCAAAGGCAAACGATAGAGTTTTATAAACTAAAGGAGCAATGCATTGTCTGCTTATTTTGGAGACTTTCATTACTGAACTGTATAAAGGACACAAGGTACATGTTTGGTAAATTTGTCGTCTTCTTTGAAACGGCTTTTGTCCAAGTCATCCACATTGTATCTGATGTCACGAAACCGTGGAAGTAACTCCTAAGTGTAGTTGTGATTAGTAGTATGATACGGAGGATACATCAATACCAAACATTGCGTCATCACACTCGCTATAAGCCACGAAGTTATTCAACATATTAACTACCACATACAAAACCCCGGAAATGATTTGATATCAATACATCAACGTGAATTGATTTAATTTGAATAAGTTCAAAACATATTTAAAGGATTTTCTGCATAAAGGGGATTTTTCGCTATCCTATGATTTGAATTTAGTTATATGTAAATCGATTTTTAATACGTTGAAAACGATCCTGGTTTTGTTAATACAAATATGACATGTCAAACCCGATCACGTTTTAGTGTTTAAGGTACATGCTTTCTTTAGATTTATGTGCAGGTGCAAGTAAGTTAATAAAAGAATTTTTTAAAATAAAAAAATGTCAAACATATTTGTGACAATTAACTTAATGACGAACATAACAAATATTGCGTTATTCTTATATTTGTAGGCTGATATGTTGAAATGTCGAAAGTTTTCTTTTTTATTATTCATTTTAATATTATTCCCACTTTAGATGATTTTGTCAAATGCTTGTGTGTGTAATATTAAAGACGACGGATGTCCCTCCTCACAAATATACGACTGTACATATACCTATTGAATTTATTCTGAAAAATAATGATATTTTAAGTTTAGAGTCGGATGCTTGTTTTATTATTTTGACAATGATTTCGCCCAATCATAATTGTCCTCAGTTGTCGATGAGGTTTTAACAACATGGGTCTTTCGAATCACTGATTCTTCCTAAGAGGCCGAAGCAGCTATACAATGCAGAATAGTTTATAATTAGGTTTTACTGTATTTAAATGATCATAAACTGCTGATGCCTTCTTGTTAGTCTCAAGTCTTTCTGATAAACGAACGGTGAACAAGCGAAGGGTGAATAATTTTACGTTACGAAGCAATTATATTTTCTCCAATCATTTTGTGTTTTG